ACAAGCAGGATTTGAAGACATATTAAACTCTTTGGTGGTACCTTTTCTCTAAACCCGAAAGTTAATTGTGATGGTGCTAATCATCATATTTAGCATCCATAGACAGACCCATTGCCCTCCTGGAATTCCCTTTCTTTTTTTAATAAGGGGGATAGTACCATTTACACTTTAATTATGTTCTGTGTGTAGTAATTCTTTTTGCATTTATTGACTCATTCAGCTTCACTGAAGGTCTTTCATTGCTAAGAGAGTAGAAGAAACAATTGTCCCAGTCATTTTTATGTTGGTTCTACATTTTATTGTTTATGAAGCAAAAGAGAGAAGGCCAGTCCGTATTTTAGCATCTGATTTTTCTAACCACATCTGCAAAACATTCTGGAAACCATACCTCCACAACTCTAAACCTTGCTTCTGGTTGTATAGGTTTGTATAGGAGTCAAGCCAAATTCTTGCCTATCTGTAGTGACAGACTTAAAGGCGTCCAGTCAGCTTCATGACTGAATAGAGACTTGAATGTGTATAGTTCTGTATCCTCTGCTCATCTTACCATGCTGATCCTACCCTGAATACTTTTGAACAGGTTTGCCCAGAATTGTGTGGTTATTTAATAACAGCTTCTCAGAGCTCTGGATCCTCTATATGATCCCTTGCTCTGTTTTAACTTCTACAGATCAGTCTGTGTTGGCCCAGGAATTCTGCCCCATTTTTGCTTGATGATCAGAATATTCTGCACTCCAAAGAAGAAATGGAGTAAAAGTCATGCTTTCACAGGCACATACAGTGTGCAATCTTGAGTCCATTTGTGAATTGTCTGCCTGCCCCTCTCTCTTAAATAAATCAATGATAAATTCATCTTTGCATGAGTGTCTGCTTTGGGCCTAATTCATTCTATTCAAGAAGCATGCCAGAATCAATAGTTAACAGAAATCCTCAACAACTAAGTAATAATGAATAGAGATCCTCAAAGATAATCCCTGGGCTCTGAGATCAGTTTATTTTTATCATCACTGTTCCCTTTGTTTCCAGACTTTGGGAATGTGGGTCCTTCCTGGAAAAAATGATAGCAAATCTGAGATTAGTATATCTATCTATCTACCTATCTACCTATCTACCTACCTACCTACCTACCTACCTAC